GGAGGGAGAGAGGGTGGGAGGGTGGTTATGGGAAAGCGCACTAGGCCGCGTCCCCCTCTGCCCCTCCATTCGCCTCTCCCTGTCTGTATCCCTCACCTTGAGTCCCAGTCATTCCAGCGCTGCCGCTTGTTCACCCGAGCGCTCAGGGCTCTGTGGCTCATTCCCTTCCCCACAACATGTCCCCCGCCTGGGGAAGAAGCCGCTCTTCCTCTCGCTCTCTCGGTGTCTCTAGGCCCGGGCCTGGGAGCTGCCGCCGTCCGGCTGCGCGGCCAAGGGCGGCTGGGGCTGTCTGAGTCACCGCGAAACTCCTCCCCCGGCCTCCGCCTGCTCCAGCGGCGCGGATTTCCGTTCCGTTCGGATCAAGGTTCCGGGGGTGGGGGAGGGCGAAACACCCCGCAGGAAGTGACGACACCGACCAGGTGTCAACATGGGGTCCGGGGGTGGGGCTAATAGGGGAGGGGCAGTTATGGGTGGGGTAATAGGGTGGAGCTAATGGGGTGGGGCAGTTTGGGGAGGGGTATTGGGAACAGGCAGATGGGGGTGGGGCTGTTGGGTTGAGCAAATGGGGAGGGGCACTTGGGGAGGAGCTCTTGGGGTACAGTGGTAGGGAGGGACTAATAGGAGGGGCTCTTGGTGTGGGGTATTAGGGAGGGGCTAATGGGAAGGGCTCTTGGTGTGGGGTATTAGGGAGGGGGATGGGGAGGGGCTCTTGGGGGTGGTGTGTTGGGGAAGGTATAATTGGGAGGGGCAAATGGGGAGGGGCTGTTGAAAGAGGCACTTTTGGGGCTTTTGGAGGAGGGGCTGTTGTGGAGGGAATGTTGAGGGTGGGGTAATGGGAAAGGGCTGATGGGGGAGATGCTGTTGTTGGAGAGGCTTTTGCGGATGGGGTTTTGGGGAGGGACTGTTGGGTGAGGGTCTGCTGGGGGTGTGGTGTTGGGGAATGGCTGATGGGGGCTGGTGTGAAGGGGAGAGACTGATGGGGAGGGGTATGTGGGAGGTGGGCTTTTGGGGAGGGGTGATAGGGCAGAGCTCATGAGGAGGGTAATGGGGTGGGGTTGTTGGGGATGGTTTGTTGGGGAGAGATTGTTGGGAGGAGTTGATGAGGGAACGGAGACTGTGATGGGGAGTGGCTGATGCGAGAAGGTGTATTGGGTGAGTGGTGATGGGGAGAGAAAATGTAATGAAAGGAGGGGACAATGCGATGAGGTGAGCAGTGTTGGGAGGGGAGGAATTTGTGATGAATGTTGGGAGTTATGATTACGGGAAGGTGATGTTAATGCAGGGAGAGCTGTGGTGATGCAGGAACAAAAACAGAAGTTGCTGGAAAAGCTCAGCAGGTCTGGCAGCATCTGTGAAGAAAAAATCTGAGTTAACATTTCGGGTCCGGTGACCCTTCCTCAGAACTGTGGTGATGCAGGATGGGGGAGAGAGTGGAATACTGGGGAGGGGTTTGGGGGTAATGGCAGGGGAGGGTGTGATGTAACTCCCAGAATTAACCACTATCCATCTATAATTGGCCAGAGTCTATAAGGTGCCAACGGAATTCTTTCTGCTCACTTGCATTCTCTGTTTGTGGTCATTCCTCCATCTGTTCAACTTCTGGTGTTGTCTGCCAGTCCAGTCCTTCTCCAATATGGCCTGTCTTTCTTTCCTGATGGTTCATATTCTCTTGTCACCAATACCAGGCTCTTACCTGCTCTCCCCAGAGTTCACGCTTTCTCAAGTTCTGCCTCTTCACTGCAGCTAAAAGAAACATGAGGAATAGGAGTCTAATTTTCCTGTTCATAAGTTCATTGGCTCTTCACAGAATTATTTGCTCTTGCAGCAAACCCACAAAACATTGTTTTCAAATATAGTTTGAAAAAGATTGAAAAAATAAGCAACATAATACTAGAGGCTGAATTTTCTCCCTCTCCAATGGCTCTACCAATGGGGTAGGGTAGTAGGGAGGGCCTAATGGGAGGGGCTCTTGGGGTGGGGTATTAGGGGGCTAATAGGAAGGGCAGTTGGGGATGGGTTATTGGGGAGGGGCAGATGGGGAGGGGCTCTTGGGGGTGGTGTGTTCGGGAAGGTGTAATTGGGAGGGGCAAATGGGGGAGGGGCTGTTGAAAGAGGCACTTTTGGGGTTGGAGCATTTGGAGGAGGGGCTGTTGGGGAGGGAATGTTGAGGGTGGGGTAATGGGAAAGGGCTGATGGGGGAGATGCTGTTGTTGGAGAGGCTTTTGCAGATGGGGTTTTGGGGAGGGTTCTTCAGCCAAATAAGGTCTGCCAGGTGGTTAGATTACTGCCCAACTGCTACTTTTCCCATGATATGGGGAGGTAGAGAGCCCAGTAGCCCATTCATTTTAGGTCTATTGAGAGTCTGGCCAAATATTGTCTACTTGAATCCTTCAGTTCAACTCCACTGCCATGAAACACTGAGCAATGGAAGGTGAAAGTGGAATTTTTATTTACAACTTTTTGCAAATGTGGGAAAAAAGGGGGACACATCGTATCAGGCTGGGTGTCTTGTGCACACTGCGGGGACACTCCGTGTGAAGTAACCATGTTGTTCCACTCCACCTCACCTCCAACATCCCTCCCCAAATCCCCCCAACCCCCCGCCCGTCCGCATTGACCTCTTCCTGCCCAATTGGCCAGGGATTTTTCTGTCTCTGAACACTTTACACGTTCTTTATGGGCCTCCATACAGTCCCAGTAGCACCCAGTACTGGGTTCTGGCACTATTGTAGCTGCCAGCCATTCAGATGACCTGCAGTTCTCAAGAACAGAATAAAAACTGAAAGGACTGCGGATGCTGTAAATCAGGAACAAAACCAGAAGTTGCTGGAAAAGCTCAGCAGGTCTGGCAGCATCTGTGAAGAAAAAATAAGAGTTAATGTTTTGGGTCCAGTGAAGGGTCACATATCCCTAGACTGTGAGCCCTGGTTTTGGACTTCCCAGTCAATAGGCATATCCTTCCTACGTTTACCCTGTCTGGTCCTGCAATAATTTTGTAGGTTTCTACAACATCTTTTCATTCTCTTAAATTCAAGTGAATATAATCCTAACTAATCCAGTCTCTCCTCATGTGTCCGTCCTGCCTTCTCAAGAATCATTCCAGTAAACCTTCATTGCACCCCCTTCATAGTCAGAACATCCTGCTACTGGTAAGGAGACTAAAACTACACACAATACTCCACTATTATCTCACAAAGACTATACACGTCTTTTCTCTGCCTCCTTTTTTAAATAGTGGGGTTACATTAGCTATCCTCCAATTCAAAGGAACTGTTCCAGAATCTATAGAATCTTGGAAGATGACCACCAATCCATCTACTACTTCTATGGCCACTTTCTTAATTACTCTGGGATGTAGATTATCAGGCCCTGGGAATTTATTGGTCTTTAATCCTATGAACTTCCTCAACACCATTTCCCCACCAGTACTGGTTTCCTTCAGGTCCTCCCTGTTATAAGCCCCTGTGTTCCCCAACATTTTTGGGACATTATTTGTGTCCTCCTTTATGAAGACAGACCAAAATACGTATTTAATTGGTCTGCCATCTCTTTGTTCTCCATTATAAGCACATTTTTCTTGACTGTAATGGATCTACATTTGTTTATTTTTTTTCTCTCCATACACTTATAGAAGCTTTTACAATCAGTTTGTGTGTTCCCTGCAATCTTTCTCTCCTAATCTACTTTTCCCCTTTTGGTCAATCCCCTTTCTTTTCTTTGATGAAACCTAAACTGCCTTAATTCTGCTGCTTTTATTTTGCCAATTTGTATGCCCAAGCCTCAGATCTATTACTAACCCAAATTTCTCTTGTTAGCCATGGTCTGGCCACTTTTCCTGTTTTATTTTGGTACCAGACAGGTATGAACAATTGTTGCAGTTGCACCATAAGCTCTTTCAATGTTTACCATTGCTTATCCACCTTTAAGTAACATTCCATAATTTATCATAGCCAGCTCGCAACTCAACCCATCGTAGTTTCTTTTATTTAGATTCATAACCTTAGATTCAGAATCTTTCCGAATTACTCTGCATCTAGGGAAGGTGGTGACGTAGTGGTAATATCACTGGATTAGTAATCCAGAGCCCCAGCATCATGCTGTAGGGACATGGATTCAATTTATGGCAGGTGAAATTAGAATTCAATAAAAATCTGGAATGAAACGCCAGTCTAATAGTGACTACTGTCAATTTTATGAAAACGCATCTGGTTCACTATGGGTGAAGGAAATCTGCTATCCTTACCCAGTCTGGCTACCATCTGACTCCAGAGCCATGGCAATGTGATTGACCCTTAAACGCCCTCTGGCAGTTAAGGATGGCAATAAATCCTGGCCCAGCCAGTGATGCTCACATCCTATGAACAAATAAAAGAATAAATCTTAATGGGGAATTCAGTCATATTATGGTCACTCTTCCCCAAGGAGTCTGGGTAGATTGCTAATTATTCCTTTCTCATTACACAATACCCAGTCTAGGAATGGCCTGTTCTCCAGTTGGTTCTTCAATGTATTGATCTGGAAAACCATCCCGTACGAGTCCAGGAATTTCTCCTCTGCAATACTATTACTGATTTGTTTTGTCCAATCTATATGCAGATTAAAGTTGTCCATAATTACAGCTGTATCTTTATGGGTTGCATCTCTAACATCTTCCCCAATATTACCACTATAGTTTAAGGTCTATATTCAACCCCCCACTATTGTTTTCCATACTTTGGTGTTTCTAAGTTCTACCCTTACAGATTCCACATCATTGGAGCTAATTTTCCTTCCTCACTATTGTGTTAATACCCTCTTTAACTCAGAATGTTACCCCACCTCCTTTTACTTTTTTGTCTGTCCTTCCTAACAAATGAGCCCCTGGCTATTTAGTTTCCATTCCTGGTCACCCTGTAGCCATGTCTCCATAATCCCAACTATATCATACCTGTTTCTATCCATTTGCATGACTAATTCATTCACTTGAAGGTGAGCACTTTGGTGATAGTGACCACAATTCGGTTACGTTTACTTTAGCGATGGAAAGGGATAGGTATATACCGCAGGGCAAGAGTTATAGCTGGGGGAAAGGCAATTATGAGGTGATTAGGCAAGATTTAGGATGCATAGGATGGAGAAGGAAACTGCAGGGGCTGGGCACAATTGAAATGTGGAGCTTGTTCAAGGAACAGCTACTGCGTGACCTTGAGAAGTATGTACCTGTCAGGCAGGGAGGAAGTGGTCGAGCGAGGGAACTGTGGTTTACTAAAGAAGTTGAATCTCTTGTCAAGAGGAAGAAGGAGGCTTATGTAGAGATGAGGCGTGAAGGCTCAGTTAGGGCGCTTGAGAGTTACAAGTTAGCCAGGAAGGACCTAAAGAG